TTGTTTCCCAGAAAGCGGGTGGCTAAGCCTTCCCAGCACACCCTGCTTCAATCTACAAGGAAACTATCTTGACCAAACAATGTCCCCACCCAATGACAAGTTCCAGGGAGCCCATCGGACAGATGCCACAGGGTGGAATCATTCCTATTCCATGTCACTGAGTAGAGAAAGGAGGGTCAGCTTTTCTCATAAAGACACCCAATTAAAAACACGAAAGTGGGTCATTACTTTGGCATCTATCTCAATGTGCAATATTTTTAAAATTATTTAAATTTTATTCTTAAAATGTGTTTGTGCCACTGAAGTGGCAGGAATAAAAGCAATCTTAAAAAAATTTTTATATAACTTTTAACAATACAAGGTGGGATGTCTGTAAAAGTAGGCAGTTGGACCTTAAGCTGCCGGTCTTACTACAATAGATTCCCAGCTGAACATTTCACCATAGGATTCTTCTGCTTCCATCAGGGGTGGGGAGCGAATTCTCGCAGAGCACCCACACTACACATCAGCTTTTTCAGAAATGCTGCCTTGTTTATGTTTATTTATTTATTCATTTCCTGGCATTTCCCAAAAAGACATGAGGCCACTTATAAAAACACAATAACACAATAACAGAGGAAAATAGACAACAAAATCAGACCAAAGGGCAAATGAGAGCAGAAAACAAGCGTAGGGAGGAGAAGCTGGTGGAGACACACAGAGAATGCCACGCTGCAGACAGTTAATCGTGGTGAGATGCACATCTTGCCTTGCATGACCTGGAGCCCAAAGCAGAGAGTGGGAAATGGCTGTCTTGAGAAGTCACCGCCATCGCTCCAGAGAGGCATGGATTTTCCACATGTGCCATCAAAAGAATCCTCCTCCCATGGCTCCTTCCGGGAGAGTCCTGGGAGAATGCTGAGCACCAACAAATGCCACTGCAAGTTTCCCGCCTCTGTTTTTATGTATCCTCCAGCATGAGCAGAGGACAACTGTGCACACCAAGAAAGGATGGCCAAGCCTGACCAGGGAAGGTGATTCTCCAAACAGCCCAGGCATTGAGATCCAAATGCACGGCTCATGGACTGGCTTGACACAGGAGCAGGACCCAAAATATCTATCTTTGTATTTTCACAATCATGTTAAATTCATTTCCTCTTTTGAGAAATATCATCAAACCATCCTCCCCTTTTTTGAGATTTCAAAATAAACAATGTACATTAAAAAAATTAAAGAACCTGCCATGTAAAATATCCTTTCTGACTGCAAGGACTCCTCTGGTGATTCTGACAATGAGGATTGAGTGGGATCTAGAAGGGTGGGATGGTGTTTTCCATCAACTTGCATGTGCCGGAGAATTATGGCTTTGGAGTTCAAGTCTGATAAGCTTGTGATGTGTTATTATCAACAAGTACAGAAAAACTCAGAGGCTACAGTCAGCTTACCTGAGGAAAGTCAGGCTACTAGTACCCAGGGAGGCCAAGTCACCTTATGAAGAGATTCAGTGACTTTCCCAGGACACACAGCCAGGGAATGGCAGGCTGGCCTTGAACTCCAGGCCCCGTAACCATACCCACAAGGCTGCATCTAACCCCCACCTTATGAGACCCCCTCACAGACATGGCTGCTCCCTCTTGCTGTTTTGCTCCTGCCCTTTCCACTCCTCATAGTCCCACCACACTGAGAGAGGACAATGATGTCCTCAGTAAATAGTGGACTTGGTGACTCTAAATGTTGCTGGGTTGGCGGGTCCTCCTGGGAAACTGCTGTGAGCTGTAGCACTCGGTGGAAGAGTGCCCACCCCCTGCAGCCCCGGGAGCTTGTGGACAGGTCCAGGGCCCTTGGACTCCACTAAAGCACAGGAGTTCTGGGTCTTGAAGGTCAGAACTGACTTGGCCCACTGAGCATGGGCAGCCACAGCCCTGTGGACACTACACACCGGTGTGCGTTACATGAACACTCCTGAACTTGAGCCACCCTGACAGCACAGCCTCCCCCAGCCCCCGCCCAGCATCCAGATGTCAAGGTCTGCAAGGAGCCAGCCGAGTGGTGGTGGTAAGGGCCCCCAGAACTTCCTTGTGTCACACCCTCACCAAAGGGGGACCAAGAGCCACACAGTGGCTTAGGCCTGGACTCCCATCACGTGGCTCTATTTAGGTCACATGTGTGCCTAATTCTGGGGTGGCTGCCTCACACGCCCCCTGCTCCACACCACCCCGCCTCGCAGGAAACCGAACGTGCCAGGCCTTGAACACCTCTGCTCCTTCTGCAGGGGCCGCTTCCTACACAGCTCTTCCCATGGCTTAACCTTCACTAGCGCTCAGGGTTTGTCCTTGTATCTTTCACTCAGAACAGTTTTACAGCTTACTCCCCCGTGGGCCAGACACTGGAACCCAAAGGGGCACGCGGGGCCTGTCACCCACCCTAAGGAGCTCAGTTCTAGAGAGGCAGACTTGCCAGCCAGAGCTCTAGTATGTGCTGAGGTACATGAGGACACAGGGATGGCCTTGGGCACTGTGAGCAAAGAGGAGGTGTCCACGCTGGTCCTGAGCATTAGAAAGGGGGACTTGCAGGCTGGGGCTGGGGCTCAGTGGTAGAGCACTTGCCTCGCATGTGTGAGGCACTGGTTCGATCCTCAGCACCACATAAAAATAAACACATAAAAAGACATCGTGTCCACTTACAACTAAAAAAAAAAAAAAACAGAAAGAAAAGAAAAGGGGACTTTCCTCATTGAGAAGGTGGGGGGACTGCAGGCAGAGAGTAAGCAGGGGCAGGCCGTGCAGGGGCAGGTCAAGCAGGGCAGCTGCCTTCCAGAAGCCACAGGTGTCTGAGGAGTCCCTGAAGATGAGGAGCAGATTTGACAAGAGGGCCGTTGGGGCCGGCTGTCATCACCTCTCACAAGTTTTGACTTTCATCTCAGTGTTTTGTGATTTCCATCTCAATGTTGTGATTTCCATCTCAGCGATGTCTTCCTGCAGCTTCTGGTTCTCCTTCCTGGACGGACTCTGAAGCATCTCTAATCTGGCCGGCATCACTCTGAGCAGGGCACACCTGCCCTGGGGAGCCTGCAGGGGTGGGCTAGGCTGCCCTGCCTGCCGTTCCCTCTGCACACCTGGACCTTACAAGTGGCCTGTCCCCACAGAGGCAGGGCAGCAGTATGGGCCCCCCAGGTCCCATAACTCTGTGGGACCTCACTCACCCAGGGAGGGACTTGCAGTCCTACGCTACATGCTACGGTCTCACGCTGGCAGAAGCATTTTCCCACACAGAAAGCAGCTCCTTGACTGGCCACATCAGAGGCCCCCAGGCCCTGGGGGGTGGTGGAGCTAGGGGACGCCGATTCTATCTGGGTAGGAGGCGTGTTTCATGTGGGGGCTTTCAGGCTCCTTTCCTCCATTCTGGCCTCCCGCTTCCTTCCTGAGAGGAGTCGGGTTTGGGAGCCTGGACCTGTGCTGGCACAGCGAGCCCGGCAGGGCAGACCAGGCTGTGTCCAGCCCCAAGTCCCCCAACAGGAAGGGCTCAAAATGTGTGCTGAGTGAAAACTAAGTGGACAATAAGAAATACCCCAAAGGGGGGACACGGAGTTCTCCCCTGAGTAAGGTGGGGGTTGGGAGAGAGAATAGCTAAAATGCAGAAGGGCTCCTACGTTCAGGAGCCCAAAAAGAGGGGGACCTCGGGGCCATGGATGGCAGGTGTCTAGACTGTTGAGCACTTGGCCACTCTGCACTAAAACAGGATGAGTGCGAATATTTTCTTACTTTTTATTTTATTCATGATTCTAGATTCACAGTTCTAGTTCAGCTTTAGATTCTAGTTTGGAATTCTAGATTTGTAGAAAAACTGCAAAGATAGAGAGAATCACCCAGGCTCCCGTCTGTTTGCATCGTACCTAGCCATGGTCCATTTATTTGCCAGAACTCAGGCACTGATGTCGGTACAATGGTATTAATGAAAGCCTAGGCTAGGTTTACATCTTACGTATCTTTCACTGATCACTTTTGTCTTTGGGATTCAACCCAGGATGAAGTTCTGGATTTAGATGTGACACCTCTTCAGTCTCTTCTGAGCTGTGATAATTTTCAACTTTTTTCCCTTTTTATGACCTTGACACTTTTGAAGGTCAGATATGCTGCACACTGTCCCTCAGTGTGGATTTATCTGAGGTTTTCTCATGATTAAAACTGGGTTACAGTCTTGGGGGAAGAATCGCAAGGTAGAAAAAGTGACTCAGCCCCAGGGCTGTGACTTGGTCGCTTGGCCCAGCAGGTGTCTGGAGGGTTCTCCTCTGCACAGCCATGTTCTTCCCCTCCACACTGAAGGTCGGAGGAGTGAAGCTCCACCAATGAGAGTGGCCACGGCACCTGGGGAATGCTCTGTCACTACGCACCCCCATGGTCACAGTCCTTGATTCCTCAGCAGGGTGGAACAAGGAGGGTGAAATCAGGGACCCGTGACAAAGTGGACAGAAAAGTCGTCAACACCCTAGGATCGAAAAAGGTCCCTCAAAATCTGCTAGCAACTGCCCTTTCCTTTCCACAGTTGGCCTGTCCTGGCAAAATAGATGTCTTAGCCAAAAGAACCGTCATTAAATCTATTCAGAATACAGAAAAAATGGAACAACCCCATTCAAAAACAAACAAAACGACAGCAGCCGTTGACCCTGAGCCAGAGGTTCCCACATTCCTGCCAACCTCGCTCACCTGGGCTCAGCCCTGCCGCTGGCCTGGGGTCCCATCCCACCTTCGTCTCCAGCCACGCCCTGTGACACACTGGGGGCCTTTTCCAGCTTGGAGCCCGAGACACAGACTCTACTCTGGGTGGAAGAGCTTTTATATACAACAACAGGAATTCCTCCCAAAGAGGAGCAGGTGAAGAGCGGGGCCACCACTTCCTAGCCACAGTGCAGACCCTCTTTCTACACCAAAGCAGCGTCCTCCTGCCCACCCAACTTTAGGGTCCCAGAGCATGGCTGGCACAGGGTAGAGAAACAAGATGGCCAAAAACTGGCAGAGACCTACCTCGTGGATTCAGTGGCTTCTCACCATAGCTCTTCGGAGCCAGGACCCCTACTGTGGAGTGGCCTTCTGCCTGTGACCAGCAGCCCACCAAGCAGTTGTGAAGGAAAAGCCCGTCCTCAGGTGGAGTCCCCACATCTCCGTCCTGTGCATAGCTCGTGGCTTCCTGCTGGCAGCAGACGGGGGCGTCGCCCCCCACTCTGTGATCCTTCAGCTGCCTTCACAGAGCAAGCTCAGCAGGAGCCCTGACCCTGCAGACCCCAGCCCTGCAGCTGGGCACTGCAAAAGCTTCTGCGGGCTCACAGAAAAGGGTCTTGTGGCCCCTCTGTCCCAGGAAAGCCCGCTAGGAAGGTCCGCGAGCCCCGGCCTTTCCCCAGCCTGGAGCCACGTTGGTCAAAAGGCCCCTCTGCAGCCCCAGCGTTTTCTCAGGGGGTTTTGGTTTAACGGCATGGCTGATGCTTCCCTCACCGGGTCTGGCAGGGTGGGCGAATCGCTAGCAAACTCTACAAGGTGGTTTGCCCTGCCTTACACTAGAGCTTGGCCTCTGCATGTGCCACCTGTATGAGCCAGGGCAGCTGTTCTCTCGGCTGCATGGGTTCCGCTTTGCCTTTTAAATGATGCTAATAATAGCCAAGTCACAGGACGCTCTGAGCCCTGCATGGTAGAATGAGTACCCACGGTGGGCATGGAACTGGTGCTCGGCGAAAGTGAATTCCGCATTTTACAGCGCGGTAGCCTGTAGGTGATTCTGATCTCAGAGCTTCTTCAGCTGCACCACTTCCCTTGGCTATGACAACTCAGAGGGGCAGAGACAGCAGGGCGATGGGGACAGCATCCCAACCTCAAGTCTAAGACCCTTGAGGGCATGTGGGTCAGTCAGGGCCATGTCTACACCACAGTCCAGAACCTCAGCGTCCTCGTGGACTTCCTTTCCTCACAATTTAGGACTAAGAGAACAATTCACTGTGAGTTCTTCTAGGGAAGACCTTTTGGTAGGTGTCAGCAGCAGCATTAAGCTCTTGAGTCTTAAGGCACTGTGAAAACAATCTGCTTCGTTAGTTTTGTGAGAATAAATGGATTGATGTATAAAAAGTCCCTATTACAAAGGGCTCAGAACAGTGTCCAGAATACCGCGCATGTTCAGCGCATGATAGCTATTGTTAATTTATTATTATATTAACCTCCTGATGCCTAACAGTTGGATCTAAGCATCAAACACAAATTAAAAGAGCTTCAAAGCCTTAAATGATTTAAAAAGTGACTGATTGAAGAGCCGGGCACAGTGGTGCACACCTGTAATCCCAGCAACTTGGGAGGCTAAGGCAAAGGGATCTCAAGTTCAAAGCCAACCTCAGCAATTTAATAAGGCCCTCAACAACTTAGTGAGACCCTGTCTCAAAAAATAAAAAGGACTGGGGATGTGGCTCAGCGGTAAAGCCTCCTTGGGTTCTATCCTCAGTACCAAAACAAACAAACAGCTACTGATTGGAGTGAGATTACTCAATCTTATTATTTCAATTTAATTCACACAGCAAACTTTTCTGAACATCTCTGGACTCTGGTAAGCTCACACTGGGGGGGAGGTCAGCTATAAATAGACATGGTCCCCTCTCAGGGCCCCAGCCTAAGGGGCTTGGGAATGGCTTCATGTAAACAGACAATCACAATAGGCATGGCAAGTGGGGCTAGAGAAGCCCCATCAAGGCCCCTTATCAGAACAAAGGCAGGAGCCACAACCCCATCGGAGATCACTGGGAGAGTCCCCCAGGAGGCAGCTCTGACTGGTGACAAAGAATCAGGCAAACTGCTCCTCAGAGGCAGATCCCTGGGCTGAGAATTTTACTAAACAGAGATCCCGTATTGCTGCTGGAACTGCCTCTCATGTTTTATTGGTGGGGCCTGACTATACAATTTTCAGACAGCTTTATATGCTTGAACCCTAGTATTAAAGAATATAATGGGGAGCAAGAAATCCACTCCCTGAGGAGGAATCCCATTTTCCTGATGCAGCCCAATGTTCCAGGTGGCAGTGGAAAGGTGAGAGGGAATTTGCATGAAGGAGGCTTGGGTCTCCTGGCTGTGGGGTTCCTGGGGAAAGTCACCGCTCTGCCCACCCCTAGTAGACAGAAGGTGGTGGACATGTGGGTGTGCACACACACACATACACACACAGACACACACGAGTCCAAGCAGCCAATCAGAAAAGAACAAGGAAATGACATTGGTCTCGGGTTCCAGGTATCTGAACAGAAGTGAAAGTCAACTTCAGCCATTTTCACCCCCATGGAGTCGCAGAGTCCATGAGAAGGCAGTGGGTGGGTGGGGTGGACAGGACTTCAGGGAGTGAGACACAGTGAGATGTGCTAGGAGGTGGTGTCCTTGGCTAGACCCTTTTCTTAGAGAATTTCAGAGAGGTCCTCTCAGGCCTGGATTGGACAGACCCCAATTCTGAAGTTCCAGTTTCACATTCAGCCGCACTGACTCCCCCATTTATTTTTGCACATTTATGGTGTCTTATGCAAAATTCGGACTTCTCCTTCCATGAGTCTGCACCAGCCTCCTGATACCAAGTCATCTAGGATCAAAATCAAAAGCTGTGGGCAATAGAATATTTGAGTGGAAGAATCATCAAAACAATTCAGTCCAAGATTTACCTCTGGAATGGTGGAGTGAGAAGTTGGGCAACTTCCTTTTGATGAAAACAAATGTAAAATTAGATAAAATCGTCAAAAAAAATTTGGAGCACTGGAAAATGACCCAGGGCAGACAATGAATCTAGAAGTCTAATCTTTAGGAACTGCAATGGTATCAGAAGTATGCAGTCTTCCTGCCGGAGGTTCCAGCACTTATCTTGGGTAGGAAAACCACAGTTTTACTAGTGGGAGAGGGGGACTTGGTTTGAAGTCTGTCAGTGAGCACCAGCAGCTGTACCAGCTGTAGGTAACAGATTTGATCTGAGATGGGGAGATGAAAACCTGCCGTTTTGGGGGTTAAGGCTTATGCAATCAGTTCTACACAGGATGTGAAAAACTCCAGCCTTCCTGGCCTACATTATAGCCTTGATTCAGGTTGGACAGAAGGTCAGCCAGAATTGGAATGGAGAGATCCTGAAGTAAGAGGGCTTTCAAGAAAGGGCTGAGATAATAAACTTCCTGTGCATTCCTAACTGTCTGCCTTAACATGCAAGAGTAAGACAGTGGGTGGGGGGAGGCCAGTAGAAAGTGAAAGCCGAGTGGGGTCTGAGCATTAGTGGCAAATTTGAATGTGTTTCTCCAACCACACAAGCATGGGCAGCAGAGGGTGAAGGCCCCCTTCTTCAAGATGTCTGAGCATAACCTCTGTCCAAGTAATTGACTGATTATTATAAAATGCAGAAATAAGAAATACCCTTAGGGAATCAGACTAAAAAGCAAGTAAAATACTAACTATAGACACTACCCGGTGATATTAGTGGCTGAATGTCATGGAGAAGACTAATGCTGCAATTAAAGTCCAAATAAGTTACTAGAATTAAAAATAAAAATAGCTTCTTAAAAAACAAAGCATCACTCAGAATCACTATAACACTCAGTTTTCAAACAGAAATAACAAGACATGCAAAAAATTAGGGAAGTGTGGCTAAAAAACAAACAAAATAAAACAAAAGCAGTCAATAGATTCTGACAATCCTTGAGAACATCTGTTATAGTTATGTTCAAGTAATTAAAAGAAACTATGTTTTAAGACTTAAATAAAATTATGTTTACAAGAGTCAATGAATAAAAATATATCAAGAAATCAAAAACTTTAAAAAGAATCATATGGAATTTTTAGAGCTGAAAACTACCAACACTGAATTGAAAATTCATGAGATAGGCTCAACAGCAAATCTGAGATAGTAAAAGAAAGAAACTGTAAATTTGAAAATAGAGCAGTATACTTATACATTCCAAAGAATAGAGAGCTAAAAGAGCAAAGGAAATGAATAGAGACTCAGAGACTTGTCAAATATTGTAAGCTATTGAAACTAATGTACTAGAAGCCCCAAAGGGGGAGGAAAGAGAAAAAAGCACGGGAAAAAATATTTGAAGAAAAAATAGTTGAAAATTCCCTTATGTTAGTGAATATCATTCACGTAAACATTAAAGAAACTGCAAGAACCCAAAATAAGATAAACACGAAGACATCATAGTCAAAATGCTAAAAACCAAAGAAAGGAGGGAAAGGGGTCACATTCATGTCAACAACCATATGATTGACGACTGACTTCTCATCCAACACAACAGGGACTGGCAGGTGGTAAGTGATGTATTTAAAGGGATGAAACAACAACAAAAATTATCAGGTGCAAATTTGCTATCCAGTACATGGATCCTTCAAAATGAATAGTTTACAGACAAACAAAACTCAGAGTATTTGTTTCTATCAGACATTCTACAAGAAAAACTAAAATCTTTCCAGAGAGAAAACCAATGAAACCAAAGATGATATTGACAAATCTTCACCAATCAAGGAAGAGAAGATTCTCTTTTCCTCACAGAATCCCCAAAAGGTTCAGGAATTAGAAGTTAAGGTCATGGGGTGCTGGAAACCCTTGTGGTAAAAAATGTTACCAGATAGTAACCCAGTTCACAGACAGGAAAGAACAGCAGTGAGAATAGCAAGCACACAGGCAAATTAAAAATATGTAACACAACAGCAAAACTATAAAGCGCAGGGATATATTATCTCTTTTTCTCTTCTTAAAAAATTCATGTGAATATTTAAAGCAGAAATTATAACACAGTGTTGTAGGTTTGTTATCCATATAAATACAACATCCATAACAGTAATAACACAGAGGAAGATAAGGAATAGAACTATAATAGTACAGAGCTTTATTTTTCACCAAATATAAATCAGTATTAATTTTAAAGCAGATTTGTTATAAACTGAAGATGCATAATATAATCTCTGGAGCAAACACTGAGGAAAAGAAAATTCAAAGCAATGTTGTTTTAAAAATAAAGGGCTGTGGATGTGGCTTGGTGGTGGAGTACTTGCCTCAGTGGGTGAAGGTCCTGGGTTTGGCCCCCAGCACTCCAAAGTAAATAACTACATAAACAGAAAAATTTAAATGGTATATCACAAATATTTTTTAATGTAAAAGTATCCAGTAAAGTAAGACTATTGGGACCATCAAAGAACTTGACAAGTAGAAAAAAAAAATAGCACAATAGTAGATGGGAATCCAAACATAAAGACTATGTTAATTATAAATAGATTGAATGTGTCACACAAAAGGAAAGTTTTATTAGACTAAAGAAAAAGAGCAAGATTCAACCCTATGATGACTACAAAAGATTTACTTCAATGTCAAAGACTTAACGAGATGGAGCAAGGATAGGAAAATATGCGCCGGGTAAATAATAAATGCAATAAACAGAGCACTTACATTAATATCAAAGTAGTCTACGATAAGAAATAGCATTGGGAAAAAGAGGGTGGTTTCATGATAACAAAAGGGCACATGCAGCCAGAGACGCCAGAATTATTTGTATGTTCCTCTTTTTAAAGCCCTCATACATGTGGAGCAAAGACAGGCAGAATTAGAAGG